CGAAAGCAATGCAGCTGAGCACACTGCACCGATCGGGCCAGGCTAGAATTAGTGAATAATCCCAGCACAAGTAGATGTTTTGCAAGAAATTAAGCCATAGACGAAAGATGAACAGGCATTTTCGATTTTATATATGTGTGTGGGACTTTAAATCAGTCGACTCGTACTATGGCCTATAAAAGCGTGACGGTAACAGCTCCCCCAATTTTCAGGTCTTTGGGCAGTGCCCCTTCCGCCTGCGATTGCCTCGCCAGCTGCCCCTCGGTAATCGGGATTGCTTTTCTACACTGGCATAGGCTATCGTTGTTTCGTATAAGGGTATATATTTCGTATAAGATATATTACCTGGAGGGAAACAGGGAAAAGCAGGGACTCTTCATAAGAGGACGAGGACAAATGAGCGAAAGGAATTCGAACAAAGACTGGACCTCTGCTGTACATCGAAGAGAGTCGTCATTATGCGTCGCCGAAATACGTTGATATCTCATTCCCAACTGCCTCATTTTATTAAAATGGTGGAGTGATAGAGAGTACCAAAAACTGTTGCAGGCATTTAAGCCTTGTATGTGCAAGGTGCGAACCTATGCAAAAAATGTTTGGTATAGGCAGGTACACGGGGTGGCAACTGTGCACTGCGCGCAATGTTAACAAACGCTATCGTATAGAATGGAAAAAACATTTAAGTCAAATTTTAAACTCGGCTAACTGTTATGGGCAGTTTTAAGTTGTGGGAACGGTTTTTTGAGTACAAGGTTTAACTCAGAGCAAATTTGATTTTGAAAACTTAACTAACTAGACTACGGCTCGATTTTTCTAACTTGTAATTAGATATTACCTGGCTTACTCCACGTTGTTAGCCGCTTTTAAAAAACATTTCCATAGATTCATGAATGAGAGGATGAAATGTACTGTTGCAAAATCACAACTGATGCTTAACTACCCTGACACAATAACGGTAACGAAAGGTTTAACGTAAAGGTCCTTTAGAATTGCGAATGGTGTTCACAAAGCACTTGGTTTAAAATCGTGCCTAAACAAGCTAATGAAGTAAATTTGTTACTTGAAGCTCTATTTTTCAAGGCCTATTTATCAGTATTCGTGTAAACCTAATAACAGCTATGGTCAGCTATGGCTGCTTCGTGCACAGCATGGCATAAGATGCATGTCGAAACATGCCTACATTTGGAGAGAATCGAAAGTGATTTATATCGCATATTGCATGTAACGCAAAGGAAACTGGAAATTCCACTTGGTCATTTAATAGCTCGGGTACGGTAGCTGGAACTCTTTATCTAGATAGTGATCGCTGAGCAAAGACTAGTCACTTATTAAATTCCACCCAGACAAAAATCACATCTCTACAAAGACAAAAAGCGTTATCCATAATTTATCTGCGCAAAACCTGCCCATTAGTATAGACACTCAAGTATAGGTAGAGAAGGGAATAATATGAAGAAATCGTTAGACTTCCTGCTTGTAAGGGAAAACAAGAGCAGGATATAACAAAGTGATGAGGATTTCGAGATGGAGCTGAAAGCTACCATAACATGCTTAAAATATAATAAAAGTCAGGGTATTAGGGTAGGGGTAGGGTGGCTTGTGTTCCTCCCTGAACGAGTTAATAGTATGAAGCTTCGAGTAAGATCGTCGAAGTGGCTTTCGGTTCTCGGTAGGCCAAATTACAACTGAAAGCAAAAATATGAGCACACAGCTTCAAGAACTAGACGAATCCACGCACACTGATTGTTATAACGTGCTAAGTACCAAGAAAATATCGTACAATACAGTATGACCTGATGAAATAGAACAAAAAATGATCTAAAGATAGCTGACAGAGGTAAGAATTGAGTTCAAATGTCAAAGTAAGTTAAGCTAACAGAATGACTAGTCGATAATCAAGAAACAAGTACATGAAGCTGGTCAACTGCGAAGAGCGGAACTGCTGGAAAGAGCGATATTAGATTGTAGGTCGGTTAACAGAAACCAATGAATGATTGGCTGCGGAAAGCCGACTCAAAGTGAAATCATAAGAGCATGGACCATAGATACGGACAGTTCAGAGGGACCATACGCGTTAACAGATAATATGTCGGTGAGTAGCTTAAGGAAAAACACTCTTCTGACTGGTGGAAGATCAAGCATGAATGGCGTGTCAACGAAATGGTGGCTTCGTTTAAGCGAAAAATCTACTTACGCTAAGGACAAAAACAATCTTAATTCGAAATAGGACATCTTACGTAAGATATCGATGAAAACTTTCGATAGAAAACGGAATGCTTCAACACGCCAATATGTCTGATTATAAGGACGCAGGGATTGTTTTAGTCACTAACTTGTTCCATACTATACGAGATTATAACATAGTTCACAGTTAATGTCACCCGATAATGCTGTCAATTCGGGTATTTTTCTCACTTCAGCCATTAAAGATCAAAACTTATAATATGCCCGCCATTGTTGACCTATGCGTTGCGGAAACCTAAATATCGACACACAATTTGTTTACAACCTAGAAAATTCGTGGAGTAGACAGGACGGTTTTATATGAAAGTTGTTACATTATTGTGCTTACTCTAGATAGGGCATGAAAACGTCGAGTTACATTTATAAAACGAATATGCAATGCTAGCTAACGTAATGATTAGATACTTCGGATGACGGGAAGCGACAATATTCAAGCTATGATAGTTTTGATAAACGTGATTAGAATAGGAAAAAGTCGAAGGTGTGGAATATCTACGGATCTGATGGGGCTTCTATTTAATGTAGTTTATAGATAATCAATAAGTGAATAGATAAAAACCGGTTCCTGACTATCCGTGCCCGAAATAGGCAGCAAACCTATTCTCTACTCTGCTGGTTGCACCTTTTAGCCGGCAGGGATTGGCATTGAGAGATGTTGCCTAACATACTGAAACTTAATAGCAGTCGATAGAACGTAATCTGGCCTTGTAAACGAAACGGCTATACTCTTACTAATTCCGTTATTGCTTACCATACATGCTAAATAAACAGATCTGCTTAAACAAGAATCTTTGTGTATCTATAATGCTTCGTGATATAGCCGCCAATAGCTTTCGTCGTTATAGAAGTTTTATTTTTTTAGTGTTCATGTTCTGTTAATAAACTTTGCCAAGTTTGTCGGTGACTATCGTTTCGACCTAACGAGCACTTTTTGTTTTCAAGTATATATGTTAAAGACGAGTCCCTGCTAAATATCTGCCCCCAATCCAATAGTTGCTATTCGCTAGTTACACGTATTGCGAAAAAAAAAAGCCTAACCCACTGTGAGGTTTACGCGCGTATTGTCTTTGCCGGTCTCGATTTTCTAGGTCTGTCATTGTAGCTGACGCTATGCGGTCTGACAGTTAGTTATTCAGCCAATTTTTGACCCGTCCTCAAAATGTGCCTCAAGAACAATGCCATGTCGACTGGGATGGCCGGTCTCTGACTCGTTTGTATCAATAGCAAAGATACATTGATTTATAGCCATTAGTTACATGCAGAAAAAAAACTTGGTTAACAACGGGAAGAGGAAAGCAAGGTGGTGCTTGTTTGTTAGAAAAACGTTGACTGTCAGAGCACTCAGACCTCGGCTACCCCGTTCTAGCAAATGACAAAGAGCAAAGCATGCTTAGTTGATTTCGTTGAAGTCCGACTAAAATGTGACCTATATATGATATTATTAAAAAAAATTTAAAAAACAAAATGAAGAGTCCCTACCGGAGAGGATATCTAGTTCCTGGAAGTTCCATGTTTAGAGTGCTAGGAAATCTGCTTGCCGGTGACGCCGGAGGCGAAGCTCGAAAAGTATATGCCAAAATGTACACACGGGCTGTTGTTTACCGAAGTTCTATAATGGGTCACTACTATTCACTAGTGGTGGAGATTATGTATTTCGTAAACCCTGTGTCCCCTAGAAGTGCGCAAGCACTGGCTAAATCCTAGGAGCCCTATGCCTGTCCTTGACACGGTTCAAATCCTTAGAAAAACATTTCCACCTCTTGTTTTAGTGAGATGTCACGTTTATCGGACCAAACACTCTCGATACAATATTTTCGTTTGGTCTTCTTGACGCCGTCAGATACAGTCAGAACACACTCAAGCAGATTATTATTATGATGTACCATATATGCGTATATCTTGAGCGATACGACCTTGGGTAAGAGCCACAACCATTAGAGATCCGATTGAGTAGTGCTTGTATAATAAACACAATGTGTTCAATACGTATATCTGACCCGTTTCCTCCGATCGAAAAATATGACTGTGTGACAAAAAAAAGTTATATTTTCACCATGTACGGTAGATTATTATAAGGCTTCGTTCTTAACAAAAAAATCGAAGTTCAACTGCGCTAGCTCGGCTGGGCCTGAAGTGATTTTTTTTCCTACTGGCCATTGTTCACAACTCTCTTGGTCGCTCGAAATACCTTCCAGTTTCAGCTAACCTAATTTCTTGGATAAATGTGTAGTATTAATCGTCTTTATGCGTGACACTGTGATGGTTATAAGAGGTACGTGCTTTGTAAAGTACTGAATCGCAATTACTCGGTCACATTGCCTAATTAGCCAAAGTTAAGGAGCAATACTATGGCGTACCGAGCAAGGTTTGGGGTTTCAGGGACAAGGGGGTAATCAAAGCACACGGTTAGCCGTTAAAATATAATGCTTACTAATTAGCGCAAATGGTGACAGGCAAACTGATTCACGTATATTTAAGTAGGCCATTGGGTTCCAATTTGTAAATATTTAGCAAAATAGATACGTGAATTCGTACACTTATTTTTATTTTTCTATCACATAGCGGCCATATGCTTATTTGCTTTTGGCTCAAAGGTGGGCTGAAATACTGATTTAGCCCCTATCAAAGTCTGTACACATACGATTACTGTTGATAGATTGTTTCACAGGTTAAAGGTTATAATGTCTACCTGTTCATTGACGAATACGTAAAATCTACGTATTAGTCGAAATAACTATCGTAACTTTTGTACTTACCTCATCGCAAAGTGCTAGCATACGCCGGGTTGACTCGAGCGACTGCAAGAAACATAACAAACAAAGATATTAGTTTAACAACAACGTAGAGCATAATTAGCTTAGCTGGTAGTAAATATCAATATACTGAACTTACTTGAAGCATCTATTAATGTACAGGACCTGGTTGGTTCGTTAAGATCGTAAGATAGGTAAGATAGAATACGACGAGTAGCTAGCTGGTACTGTTCACTTAATGAACCGCTTTAATAGATAAATAATCACTCCTTTTCGGACGTAGAAAATGCTTTCAAAAAGACACTTCAAAATAGTGTTCCATCTGGAAGCGCTCTTGTTTTCCTGCGCTTTTCATAGAGGAAAAAGACTAAACGAAGATAATGGCCACGCCAAAAACAACGGCATTAGGGATCAAAACTGTGCAACTTTCTATGTTTGTGAATCGCTCTTATTTTATGTTCAAAAACTTTGTCAGAAGGACGACGGAATAGATTCGGTGAACCTCGGGCTATTTCTACAAGTCTTCCATGCCTCATTCTGTTGCTTTCCATTGCTTCATCGCAACCCTCTTTCCATTTTTTTTTTGTAAGCTTTCGTCGATATTTTTGGTCAGGATTGTGCTTTAAGTTTTCTCGTATCTTCATTACTTGTACTATATAAAGCCTCATAAAGTCATTTTGTCCTCCTCACCTCTTAGCTCCAGAACTGTGACAGACAGCTTGTAAAGGCATTATCATTTGACGTGCCCGAGCAGGAAAAAAACTATTTCCAATATATAGATATACCCCATATGAGCGGCGGAGTATTAACGAAGAATAACCTGTTTCTCCCGATCACATAGAGCCCTAATCGGGTAACTGGACGAGGCTTGATTTGATTCATCAGTCGCGGAATAGAATCGCATTCGAGACAGGTCGCTAGCAAGCGGTTCGACGACGATTTGACTAACGGCAGGGATCCTGCAGAAAGCAGAGCTTGTACACCTTTTCATTCCTCTACACTAATTCAGAAAAAGGTTTTCCGGCTGCCGTGGCGCTCATGGGCGCAACAGTTTTTCCTTTTCGGGCCCCTACAACGCTTAGTGACGAAGATTAGAAAAGCTGGCTTCTCTATCTTGTTACTTTCGACGAAGGACAGAAAGCTGAGCAGCAAATACTGTACATTTACTCCCCTTGCCTGGTGTGTGAAATGAGGTGATTCCCTCTCCAACATCCCACGAGATACAGGCCGTCTTGCCAAGTCGCACAGTGAAAGCTTTCCTCAGAACTCAGACCGTCGTCTGAGAAAGCTGCAGCTTATCTGGTCCGAATAGCCCATGCGGGACTCCGAACCGACGTCGCAGCAGTCGGCCACGTGCGGGATCTTTCTTTTTTGCGTCTTCCTGGGTTTTTTTTTGTTTGTTCCCGCCCCTCTGGACTTGCCTTTATTGAGCTTTATTCGATTCATGTTTGCTATTTTCATGGGTAAACATTAGAAGCTAGGAAACATCTACTGTCTAGACGACGCGAAAATCTATTTTCACCTGCCTACTATTCACAGTTCCTGTATGGCTATTTCTGTCAGAAATGTTTTTCAACTATTTTAAAGCTGTGCTCGTAGATGCCGATTGCTAATTACATAGATCAGAGGATATCCGTTTAGCGTCTGTCTATGTGTATGTCTACGGAGATTTCCTATCACTTCTGCCGGGGCCGCTGCTACACCTTAACACAAATTGAGAATAACTCTTCTTGAGCAGGCTACCTCGCACTCACAATCAACTGCCATTAATTTAGGTAAAGCCAAGGACTGGATACTTGGGTAGTAAGGACCGAGCGTTCTACCGCTACCACTTAGTTAACTTTCACTGGTTGGAAAAGTTAGGGGTAACATCGTCAACCCCATTCTTTTAAAAGAATGTAAATAGTGTAAGGGAAAGGACTTGTCTTTAAACGGGTAAGGAGCAGTCCTATAAGCAGCTGCAGGAGCATGGGCTCTCCATAATTCCGCGAGAGCAATATGAGACAGCACAGAAGGAGTCATACGCGCAAGGAGGGTATTTTGGCTGCCTGTTATAGTGAATGCTGTAGGCCGATTGGGCGTTTTTGAGCATTTCGCATGTTTCCGTTTCGCCAATAAATATGGCAGGTTAACGATATGAAGAACTTTCGGTTGAGCCAGAAAAGTTGCTTCGCTATAATACCGCCAAGACACTTGCCCTCGGTGATGTAATTAATGAATACAAGAACCAACAACATTTAAGCTGTGCTCGGAATATTCAAGCGCTGTGGGGTCTTTGTATGTACACAGGATGGTGTCAGACCAGCTCAAGTCAACCACGGATAAAGCCACGAAACTATTGTATTTGCTTATTTTACAATTACATATCATAAGCGCTAATCTACGAGCAATAAGAAGATTCTAAAGTACAATCTGATTGTACGCTTCGCAATGCGTCGAACAATCTACTGAAAAGAAAAAGAAAGCTCATTTGAAAATGCCGTTCTTATGTTTAACAATATGGCTCCGGAGGGGATATCGGAGTCACACCATACAAACGATAACTACATATATTAGACATTTGCGACCTAGACGACGTTACGAGTGGTCGTGCTCCGAATTCAATTGATCCTGTCAATTTTAGTCAATTTTTCAATCCTGTCAATTTTTGAAACCGCAGAAAATATCGTATTGCAGCTTTGTTCACGTTTTGCCTAAGGCACCTCAGGGTGAATTTCACTATAAAATGCGTACATATATAACATATAGTACAACTGGTGTAATACCACGTAAAGACTATCGGTCCACAGATTATACATCCTAATGGTCTTTCAGTATTACATGGGTACAAAAACATCGTTCAAGGATCGTGTATGCTCATTGGGAACGCTTATCCAAGTCGTAATATGCTTGTACTTTTTACCATCGATCCGCCCGTGCTCGTTCGAAATTTAATATAGAAAGGACCACAACCTTTCTCCTGCCGACTACTCATAGATTTCACACGGGGGAATACTGTCAAACACTTTTGATTGAACAGTCGTTGGACCGATTTAACAGTAGAGACCACTGAGGACGACAATTACATCACTCTTTCAGGAACGAATTGTCTCGGACAGACGAATGAGCGAAAGGATTGGGTCCTTTCGTGACGAGAACAAGCCTTTTTTTCCTTTCGCTCTCATTTCATTTTTAAAATCGCCGGTATCGTTCTATCTATCTAGCTAGCCATAGGTATAGCGAAACGCAGAAATGTTTGAAGAAACAATGCAGATTTTTTGACAGGGTTATGGCATTCTCATGTCGCGAAAATCAACATTAAACACCCTTCAAATTCATAATCTAGCATCTAAATTTTCTTTTGCTTCTAAGACTGTGTCTGAATAAAAACAATATTTTAACTATTTTTCGTTGCAATATCATCTACAAACATTACTTCTGATGGTCGTATTTATACAATATGTCGATCACTTGTCACGGGTACAACTCCGGTTCGGGTTCTAAACTGCTCACACGTTCGTCTCAAATGTTCCCTTTGCAATTGTGTGATCGCTTTCGAGTCAACGTTGTCGTGACGAGACCTGTTGAATTCTCGCTCAGTAACTCTCCATATATAGTAATTCAATTAATTGTTATCTGGGCCGAGTGGCGACTAGTGCTAATCCCAGAATACATACTCTGGCGGCCAACCCTGCGCTTGTATAAACCAGTGCGCCAGTTTTCTAGAAGCCATTTCTCCTCTGTCGCAGATTTTCCGTTGCACGGTTTTGAAACCTACTTCTGCTTGTTTTTTGCAGTCGCATACTCATTTGCAGCTCGGCATACTGATGATTTAAAACGACATAAGAAGTTTCTAGTCTCGTTGCGCATTCGTCCAGTGCGTCTAGATTCGAAAATTGCCGGCCTTTGCTATAATCCTAAAAAGGACGCACTATTCGTTATGACGAGCTTGCTGTTGTTGTTTTGTTGCAGAAGGGACTGGCTTTCGTCTGCTTTCGGGGGTAGCAAATGAGTGCATGCGCAATGCGACAAACAGCCCGCTAACATTTATCCCAATTTAGGTTACGTATTTTATGCAATAATGCCAATGGCTAAAGCTGTCTCCAGCTAACTTTTACCCTAGTTGACGGGGCAAAATATTATGTACTGCTAGCCGGTGGTTTTCATAAATACTCAAACAAAAATCACAGTCGTTGTTTTCAGCGTTCCCAACGTAAGTAAAATCCTCGTCACATTATTTAGGCTCAGTCTATTATTAGCTATAGATCTTTAAATAGGTAGCAGACAGGCTCCATTCGACGTAAATGTTTTTATGCCAACAGTAGGTTAATTAAACGTGTATCGCCGATCACGATGTGCAAACACTGACCTGGACGCTATTAAGTGGGATAGCCTCCATTCTAACTGTCTGTCCGCCACTCGTATTTGCCCTTTGCTTTATCCGATTTTTCGGGTGTCGAAACAAACCTGTCCCTCGCACAACTAAACTCCGATTTGTCATCTAATATAAATCTATTATAAATCGATTTATAAAATCTGTGGCACATTACACAATAGTTAAATTCGACACAGAGTGGCCGGTTAGTAGGGGACAACAATGCAAAAACATGTGCTCATACAGAAGCCGTACAATGCACTGGCTGTAGCAGCTAGATACCAAAGAAAAGGTAGCCTAGGGGGAGAGAAAGATTTAAGGCAAAAACAGGACCATTCTTCTGTAGTTAATCTGCTGGTAGGGGAATGATGGGTATCGTTTGTTTTTCAGCGAGACCGCTTTGTCCCATATGGCACTCTTTTCTTCTGTGGCCTACATAAATCAAGGTAGGTAAAAACATTTCAGTGATGGCTCCTTCAAGCAAACTATTTAGATGAGCAAGATGAAGAATCAGCTCGTACTGTGTGTAGATGACACCCGCCCAGTTGAGCAGAAACACTAATTGTTAAATTTGTTCCTCGACGCAGTCGATTCACATCCGTGTCGGACTGTCCTTATCGACGGTTTCCATCTCTGGATGAACCTAGATTTCATATGTGAATCTGTAGGCGTTAAAGAAGAACTGCGTTTT